ACAAAAATTAGCCGGGCATGGTGGTGTGCACCTGTAATCCCAGCTACTCGGGAGGCTGAGGTAGAAGAATCATTTGAACCTGGGAGGTAGAGGTTTGCAGTGAGCCGAGATCGTGCCACTGCACTTCAGCCTGGGCAACAGAATGAGACTCTGTCTCAAAACAAAACAAAACAAAACAAAAAAGGAACACAGTATTGGAATGGTTTCCTCATAGCCCAGATCCCTCAGGTAGGGTAGCCCCTTCTCCTTCCTGCTTATACTCCAGTCATACTAAGTGACCTTCACTCCTTCAATCAGTAGAAGGGAAAGATAGCCTAAGTGATATCAATAAAGCACAAATTGCTATCATTAATTTTAAAAAACTGTATAATAAAACACCAATGCAATCTTGAGCTTCCAGTAAAGTTAGATGGGTGCTGAGGGTTTGCAGGGAAGGTTCATGTTACCCGGTGGTAACTCCTGGCTTGAAAATCAGTTACTATAACCCAGTAAAGACTGGGGTGTTATTTGTAATCACTGACACCCCTTCTTTGTACCCCTTATGCTTGTATGAAAGTAATAACAGCTATGGTTTCTTGAAAGTATTATTTCTGTGAAATGACCTTTATCCCCCATAATTAATGAACAAGATAGAACTATTTTTCCATTCCCCATCTTAAGATCTTCCACTGCCTCCCCTCTGCCTAAGCTCTAAGTTCATTAACATGTCATCCTACCTTCATCTCTGACCACTCCCCCACCCTCATGGTCTCCAACCACATATAATGACATCCTGTTCACTTCAAGCCACCGTCCAGCCTTCCTTTATACCTATGTGCCAGTCCCGCTACCTAAAAAGCTCTCATCCAGGATCTTTGTCTGACCAACTGCTATTGGTCCTTCAGGTGCCAGCTTCCAGCAATGTCACCTCCCCTAGGAACCCCTCCCTGGTCTCCCCAGGCTGGGGTTCCTCCTCCAGGCTCCCGTGGGACCTGGAACTCAGTCTCAACTGTGGTTGGCTGTGGGCTCATGGAAAACTGGGCCTCGGCTTAGTCATCGTTACTGTCCTGGCTCCCAGTGTGCTGCGTGATGGATGTCCACAGAGTGAGTAAATGGCATTTTTGAACTTGTCACTTTGAGTGTTGTTTATCTTATAAACAACAGGCATTTCACATTCTCATTTGGTTTCTCAAAGTGCAGGGATTGGACACCACGTGAAGTAACATTGAGTATTCAGAAAAACCTTATCTCACCTGCTTAGAAAACAAAACAAAACCAAAATTAGAGGAGCTCTGTGTTTACTTCTAGATCTTGGAAGTCCAGAAGGCATTGCTGTTGATCACCTTGGCCGCAACATCTTCTGGACAGACTCTAACCTGGATCGAATAGAAGTGGCGAAGCTGGATGGCACGCAGCGCCGGGTACTCTTTGAGACCGACCTGGTGAATCCCAGAGGCATTGTAACGGATTCCGTGAGAGGGTATCTTTGTGTAAATATGTGTGTGCATCTCTTTGATTTGCATCTGCCCTTTTAGAGATTCTCAGATGTGAGGCTTTAACTCCAGCATTGCTCTCCTGAAATCAAAAAGTACAGGACGAAAGAGTCTACGGTTGGTGACTTGTAGATATCCATGGTACAATGCCAGAACATGTATTACAGTGTGGACTTGATACCATGTCCCACTTTCAAATCTTTTGCTAAGAGACTTTACAAGTTGGCATGCTCAGAAATTGGATATTTTCCATATGGCTTCAATGTGGATCAACACTTAGGTTGTATCAACTCCAGAAGAGTAGCAGGGCGGCATAGATGGACCCCTGAGGCTGCTTCCTGGGGCAGACCCAGCCTGAACACCCTGGAGACCCCTTCCTGTGGGTTTCTTCGGCACATCCATGCTTTCTCTTCCTACTTATTGCAAGGTCTACCTGTTACACAACAGGCTCTTAGCTCCTCGACACTGATTCTTTCCCTTTGAGACCACATCTCTTATTCTGTGGCCACTCAGCCACCTCCTTGAAGGCAGGTGCTCTGACCACAGCCCCTGCCAACATCTGCTTCGTGCCCTAGTCTGGTCCCCTGGGTCTGCTGTGCTCTCCTCCATGTGGGCCCCATACAGGGAATTCCATGTATTTATGCCAGCTGTAAACTTTTACTTTGTTTTCTTTTGCTAACAGCTTCATTGAAATATAATATGTCAGTTACGTTAAAGGGAACCAAATTTGTGAGTAACAGAATCACCAAATTGAAGTGAGGAACCAAATCCAAGTGTCCTTGCAAAAGAAAATGTGTTTTATCACCTCTCGATCCTTTCAGGCTTTGTTTTCATGTCTGCCAATCACTTCATTGTAATTCTTTTCAAGTGCTTTTCATCAACTTTTTCTCATGCATCCTTATTATTTCTTTTCCTCTTTCCCCCGCTTTTCCTCCTCCAGGAACCTTTACTGGACAGACTGGAACAGAGATAACCCCAAGATTGAAACTTCCTACATGGATGGCACGAACCGGAGGATCCTGGTGCAGGATGACCTGGGCTTGCCCAATGGACTGACCTTCGACGTGTTCTCATCTCAGCTCTGCTGGGTGGATGCAGGTGATGGAAAGCTGGACACTGTCCAGGGCGGGTCTCAATCTCCTGTCAGGGGTGGGCAAACTAGGGCCCTGAGGCCAAATCTAACCAGCCACCTGTTTTTATATAACCCAGAAGCTATGAATGAGTTTTACATTTTTAACTGGTACATTAAATGTATACTGGTGCAAAATTGTATAGATACCTGTGAACTGTCCTTGGTTTTCCCTCTTGGCCTGCAAAACCTGAAATAATTTACTATCTGGTGCTTTAAGAAAAAGTTGGCCACCCTCATGTTGTAAGTGGAACTGCACAGAGCCTGGAGTCACCCTGATACTGATAAGCAATTCACGACTTACATTACTCTGCCCTGGCTCGTGCCTCCCCAGCAGAAGCAACACAGGAGGAAGAGACAACTTCCCAGTTTTTAAGAGCAAGCCCCATGTGTTCTCTGGGATTTGTCATTGTAATGCTTAATTTCTCCCACTCTTGCCCTTATTATTCTTGTTTTTTCGGCACAAAGGGGCCATTTCTTGCGTGAACAATGAATGACTTGTTTCCGTTCCACACAGGCACCAATCGGGCGGAATGCCTGAACCCCAGTCAGCCCAGCAGACGCAAGGTTCTCGAAGGGCTCCAGTATCCTTTCGCTGTGACGAGCTACGGGAAGAATCTATATTACACAGACTGGAAGATGTACGTCAGCTGTAGCCGTGGGGGCTGTGTGGGGGCTGCTCGGGCCTGCACCTCCACCCACTGTCTCTGGGAGGCCAGGCCCTTCCCATCTGGCCTCTTGGCTTGACTTTTGAGCTTCCAGAAATGTCCCCTCTAGGGATGTCTCCTCTCCCTCATCCTGGTTGTGAGGAGCCAAGAGAGGAGCGTGAAGAAGGAGGGAGGACGAGGCCCTAGAGTACAGGCGGTGCCATTTATCATCCAGATGCTCCTGACTGTGTGGTTTCAAGTCTTCAAACCTGGACTTCCTCAGCACGTCTGCTCTTTCCCTAGGAGCTGGCCCAGGGTCACATGGCCAGTGGGCTCCATGTCCACTTCATGTCCCTGCTTCATTATAGTTGTCAAACTGCAATATTCCCATGGCCTCTTCTTGACCACCCCTTCCTGCCAAAGGAGGGATTCAACTAAGAAGACAACTGGCCAGAGGCGTCTGTCTAGAAAGCTCATTTCCTGCCTGGGATTTAGAGTGGAGGGAAGACCTCGCTGGTCTTTATCCTTTTGTAAAAAGCCAGAGAAATGCAGGCTTGGCCCACCCCAGGAGAGGGAAGGGATGTCTAGGAAGCAAGCCCATCATGTCTGTTCATGGCCTCCAGTTTATCCTTAAAATGACAAGAGGCTGCCTTGTAGATACAAGTTCAAGCCGTCAGATGTGTTTTCACCTTCTGCCCTTTGGTACTTTGTAGGAATTCCGTGGTTGCTCTCGATCTTGCAATTTCCAAGGAGACGGATGCTTTCCAACCCCACAAGCAGACCCGGCTGTATGGCATCACCACGGCCCTGTCTCAGTGTCCCCAAGGTAACTCTCCTGTGCCGTTACTGTTGGGGTACTGGGGGCACCTGGAGGCTCAGAGCCCACACTCTGGCTGCTACCCGTATGGCCACTAGTAGCCTTGATTATGCTGTAAGAGAGATTCAGTCCTTTGCATCCAGGGTCTTCATTAGAAGGTGGACCAGTTAAATAAACAGAAAATACTAGGTCATGAAGTTGTCAGGATGAGGAAAAGCATTGAGTTTGGGGCTGGATATAAAAGTATAGGGTCTTCAGGTTCCAAATAGTCATGTTAGGATATTACAGTGTTAGGATCTCTGCTGCTTTAAAAGTCCATCCATTTGGCCTAACAGCAATAACAATAATTAATAAGAAGAATTGCAAACATATGTGCGGCACTTACTGTGAGCTATGAACTTTACGTATACCAATTCACTTAGAGTTCTAAATATTTTGTATTCATTAGTTCATGTAATCCTCATAGCAACCCTATGAGGTAGGTACTATTATTATGTTCATTTCATAAATAAGCAAACTGAAGCAACTTGCTCCAAGTCATGCAGCTCACAGAGGCGAGTCCAGGCAGCCTGGCCCTGGAGTCTGTGCTATGCTGCCTCTTGAAGGCCTCTCCCCTCACCCACTTTCCTTCTCAGCTTCCCTCATCTTCTCCTGTCAGTGTGAAGCTGGGAGTGCAAGCTACATAAAAGGAACTTCTCACTTTAAAATTCCAACTCCATGTTGTAATCGGAGCTGGGGAACTTCCCCTGAGATCTGTTTAATAGCCTTAGTAGAAAATCTGCATAACCCCCAAGTTGGGAATCAGTGTTTGTGTCTGTCTGGTTTAATACTGATAAAACAAACAATGGATCAGCTCAGCTGATTGCCTAGCACAGTGTCCCCACTCTCCTGAAGTCTCCCTAGCATGGCTTCAAGGAAACCAAAATTGGGATCACACACAAGAAGGAGCCCACTGTCTTAACTGGCTATGGAGTCAAGTCAGGGAGAGGGCTACTGAACTGATTTCTGCCTTTTCCAGGCCATAACTACTGCTCAGTGAATAATGGCGGCTGCACCCACCTCTGCTTGGCCACCCCAGGGAGCAGGACCTGCCGTTGCCCTGACAACACCCTGGGAGTTGACTGTATCGAACGGAAATGAAGACAAGAGTGCCTTATTTCCTTTCCAAGTATTTCACAGCAACACTCTACTTGAAGCAACTTGGTCCAGATTGAAAAGTGTCCTCTGGCTGAGTGGCCACTAGGCCCAGACTTAGCCCAGCCTGAGCCCCAACAACTTTTTCCTCATTGTTCCCCAAAACATGCACCCTGGACTTCTCTAATAGAAAAGTCTCTACCCCTACACAAGGACAGAACCTGCCACCCCTCCCCCAACCCTCAGACAGACTTATACATCCCTGAGTGAGGATTACATGCCCATCTCAGTGTCCTAGGACCTTTTCCCAATACTAGCCCCAAGTGGTGAACAGAACCTCCCAAATTTGAGTTGCACCCTTCCCTGTGGCCTTATGAGCTCAGCCTCTCTTTGAGGTACCCACCATCCTGTCAGCTCCTTGACATATGAGCCAGGGCCTGACTAGGAAAAGTTGGGAGTTAAGGAGGGAATTAGCATTCCTTAATATTTTGTTTTGGTGCTCTGAATTTCTTCTTTATTACAGTCCTATATTTTTACTCCTCAGTTCCTCACCATCATCATCTTATCTAAGACCCCCATTATAATGTTCACACTCTGCTTTTTGATCAAAACCTACCCTGTCCTAGAGATATATGGGCATTTGGTGGATGATAATGAACAGCCCCTCCCAGATAGAATGTCAATATTTGAGCAGCAGGATATTGGCATTTGTTAGTTAAAGGCTTAAATCAAAAGAATGTCCAATGGTAGGAATTTCAAGGTGTAGTCAGATATTTGAGAATAGGGGATTGTTTTGATGTGCCTTAAATTATACCAAAGATTACTAATTATTCCTCTTTGCCCAAAATACTTGCATCCAAGGTTCTAGTCTCTGTTGCTGTGTTGGTTTTCAGTCCCACTGCTGGCACCAATGTCCCTCCTTTTCATGGAGACCTATTTGAGGCACAGGATGGGGCTGGCACCAGATGATTTCCCACCACAGTCCCTCACCTCTGGCCTCCACACTAGAGAACCAATTTACACTCAACAATGACCTCACCCCTCCTTGGTTTCTCCCTCTGTCTGTGGCCATTGTTGGATGTATTCTCATCTAACAACACAATCTGGAAAGACTGAATTGAATATTTATACTAGTGGTTCATATCCTTTATTGCCCAATGATCTAATTAAAAGGATCATTGCCACATTTCATATTTATATTTCTACAATTTGTTTAGAAAACATCTCCTGACCATATCAGTAGCTGGTGTTATCTTTTCATCAACTGCTTCCCAGAGTCCTAAAACAATACAAATTTTGGATTGAAAAGTTCAGCATAAGGAGTTTGAGTGAGTAAAGGATGGGATAAAGAAGTCAAGAAGATTCAATGAAAAGTATCACAAAAAAGAGTTTGATCAACAAGAGAAATAAAAAAGCCCAAGAGGAAATGGGAGGGGAAGGAATTTAAGAACAGCAGTAAGTAAAACTCTTAAGTAACTCCAGAAAGAAAATGGTACATTTTGCCAAAGACCACTTATACTTGAGAACATGGAAGAATTTGCCTGATCCTCTCTTTGGGGAAGAGAGTCTCTCCTCTTTTCCTCAAACCCCGTTACCCTCAGCCTCTCCACCCCACCTTCTCCTGACTTTGTCCTCACTTGCTTCTGCAGTACATTGGAACCTGAATTGAAATAAAGTCTTCCCTTAAATAATTGGAGTTTGTCTTGAGAGGCAAATGTAGCCCCAAGAATCACAAGATTCAAGGACCATGTAGGTCTTTTACATGTAGCCCAACTCCATAAATCAGTCTCGCTTTCTTTTTGTATTTATCGTTTCATATTAAACCCTCTATATCAAATGTTCATCATGATTTTGTATGATTTTTATAACTATTTTATTCATTTTATTAGATTTATTCTAAAATTTTTAAATGGTAAATTCTTAAACTGTGGAAACCACTAAAGGTGCTTATTAACTGTTCTCCCAGATTTGTACAAGTATTGGAAGATTCCTTGAGTTTACAGCTGTACAAATAGTGTGGAAAATAAATTTTTTTTTGTTAAAAAGAAAATCTTCCTTTATCTTTTTTGAATGAAGAGATTTAATGTTGGGAGGCTGATTCACAATAGACAGACAGACAACCACTTAATAATCTGCAAAAAACCTGTGGAACCCAGAAACTCTTATCCCAGTATTATAAGAGCTAGTGTGTTTCTCAACCACAAAAAAACTTAGGGGTTGTACTTTACTTACAAATGAGTAGGCTGGGTGCAGTGTCTCATACCTGTAATCCTAACACTTTGGGAGGCCAAGGTGGGTGAATCACTTGAGGCCAGGAGTTTGAGACCAGTTTGGGCAATACAGGGAGACTCCATCTCTACAAAACATCAAAAAAAAAAAAAAAAGAAAAAAAGCTGGGCATAGTGGCACACACCTGTCGTCCCAGATACTCAGGAGGCCGAGGTGGGAGGATTGTTTGAATCTGGGAGGCTGAGGCTGCAGTGAGCTATGATTGTGCCACTGCACTCCAACCTGGGCAACAGAGTGAGACCCTATCTCGAAAATGTAAAAAATAAAATAAAAAATAAATTATAGTTTTCAAGCCACTCTTTTTGCTACTGTTTTCATTGAGAAAATATATTCTATAAGCAGGCAATAGAAAACGTTTTCTGATTCAGCTCTGGGGACAAGCTGTGTTTTAATTCTCTTTTTACCTCCAGGAAGGAAGAAAGATGCTTTCCTGGCACTGGCTATGGAGTTAGACCCCTGGTCTGTTCTAAGCTGCCACCAATAGGCAGTGCCACTCATGCTGGCCCCTGGGTGGGATGAGAATGGCCTCTGACTTGGACAGAGTGAAGGAGCTCAGAAGTTACAGGAATGAGGTGTCCAGAGCTCAGTTGCTGCAGAGAAGGGAATTGGTACCATCAATGGAGCCAATATACAGCCTGCCAGTGTGAATTTCTTGAAAGAGACAACTTATATATGTTAGGGCTAAAACTTCTAGTGTTTTATTCTGGCTGTAAAATCTGATTACTCAAAGATGATATCAAGCTCCATGGTGGAGATAAGAAGCTCCAGGAGTCTATCCCTCCATTAAAACAATAGAACTGGCAAGAGCTGTCTGATGCAACTATTTTGGAATTCGGGATCTTAGGGAACACTTGCCGCACCCAGGAGGAAGCTCGATGAGGAGGCTGGCAAGTTTTGGTCAAGTTCAGCTCTTCACTTAGTGGTGGCTACCACCCGCCTTGATCAGCCCAGGGCAGTGCGTTGTGGGGACAGCAGCTCAGGTTCTCAGTGTGGCTCGCTGGAGCCAGGTTGGACGATAAAGACCCCGTTTTCCAAAAACCAGGGCTGTGGGTTCTGATTACTGATTGCTGCTTTTGATCCTTGAGGGGCTAGCATATAGGGAACATTTTTCATGACCCTGGGTTTGTCAATCATTTCTTGGATAGGATATCAAAAGCACCAGCAACAAAAGAAAAAAACAGGTAAGCCGGACTTCGTCAAAATTAACATTTTTACCTCAAAGGATACTATCAAGAGAGTAAAAAGACAACCCGTGGAATGGGAGAAAATATTTGCAAATTCTATATGTGATAAGGAATTAATATTCAGACTATAACTATATTTCAACAACAAAACAAACAATTTCAAAATGAGTAAAGGATTTGAGTAAACATTTATATGAAGAAGATATACAAATGGCCAATAAGCATATGAAAAGATGCTCAATATCATTAATCATTAGGTAAATGCAAACAAAAACCGCAATTTGACACCACGTTACAGCATTAGGATGGCTTTTATCAAAAACAGAAAAAAACCAAACCAGACAAGTGCTGGAGAGCATGTGGAAACCTAGAAACCTTGTCCATTGCTGATGGGAATGAAAAAAGACAGCTTGGTGGTTCCCCAAGAAGTTTGAATATAGAATTACTATATGATCCAGCAGTTCCACTCCTAGGAATATACCCAAAATAATCGAAAACAAGGGCTGGAACAGATGCTTGTGTGTTGCTGTTCATTGCAATGTCATTCACTATAGCCAAAAGTTACGGAAACAACCCAAGTGTCCATCAACAGATGAATGAATCAACAAAATATGTTATGTACATTTAATGGAATATTATTGAGCCTAACAAATGAAATCCTCATACATGCTACAACATAGATGAACCTTCAGGACATTATGCTGTGGGAAATAAGCCAGACACAAACTATCAAGCAATATATATGCTTCCATGTATATGAGGTATCTAGAATGGACCAATTCATAGAGACTGAAAGTAGATCAAAGGTTGCCAGGGACTGTGGGGAGGTGGAATGGAGAATTACTGCTCAATGGCTACAGAATTCTTATTTGGGAAAATGAAAAGTACTGGAAATAGATAGTGGTGATGGTTGCACAATATTGTGAATGTAATAAATGTCAGTGACTTGTACACTTAAAAATTATTAATGACCGGGTGTTGTGGCTTACACCTGTAATCCCAGCACTTTGGGAGGCCACAAGGTCAGGAGATCAAGACCATCCTGGCCAACATGGTGAAACCTTGTCTCTACTAAAATGTAAAAAATTAGCCGGGTGTGGTGGCACGTGCCTGTAGTCCCAGCTACTCGGGAGGCTGAGGTAGAGGAATCGCTTGAACCTGGGA